GAAGATAAACTCACAAAAGTTCTAGAAACAAATAGAAATGAATTTTGAAAATCATGCTGGTAGAGCTACAAAAAAAAAGTACCTTGAACTCTTCAATCTTTTAAGGAAAAAGGTACTCATGGTCATATTTTGTAAGGAGCTAGAAAAGAACAAAAAACAATTCGGATTGGAAACAGAAAAGAAGAAGAAAAAAAAAGGTTCATCATGGCCAACCCAAATAATCAAACCAGGGGCTTACATAAAATACAACCAATACAATAGCCGAAGTAATGCTTCTGATGGTTTAATTAGACACAGGGTAACAAACAGAGGTGTGAGGAATAGAATAACTGTTATGTCACAAAATTCATAAGAGACATGTGGTAACAATAAATCAACGCTCCCATCACCCAATAAAATACGACCAATACAATAGCCGAAGTAATGCTTCTGATGGTTTAATTAGACACGGGGTAACAAACAGAGGTGTGAGGAATAAAATAACTGTTATGTCACAAAATTCATAAGAGACATGTAGTAACAATACATGAAGGCTCCCATCACCCAATAAAATGCCTACTTGAGACCAGTCAGCATAAACACTTTCCATCCCCCCTGTCTTAGCTATCACTAAGTAAGACTAGAAGGACGACATAGTCAGCACAGATGTTACCAAAATGGCCATTGTGACAAATCCGGCTAAAGGAAACTGAGTCTGATCAAAATCAAATTAGAATTTATCTTCCTTGAGAATCATCTCAAAACCGAACACCTATATACCAAAGCATGATAAAGCCATACCTTTAACTCATCAGGTGACATGTTCACTATTGTTAAAGGTTCCAACTCTTGATTTAGCAGCCGGCGGGCTAGGAATGAATTTCTCTGCAAAAAAATCGAAGAAATATAAGCACAAAATAAGACATTTGAAGACATTAAAATCTTCAATGTAGACTTCAGCAGCAAAGAGTATAAAAAAAATCTTGCCCTCAAACAAACCAAACGAGCATATAAGCACACAGAACCTTCTGACCTGGATATTGAACCACAGTTGCCGCAACTTTTGGTTATACTTCGTGGAATCTGAGGAGAGAGACTCATGAGAGGCCTTCTCCAGAGAAGTAACTGCACGAACAGCATCATCTGGCCAGTGAAAAGACTTGCCACTCTGTTTAAGACAGTAAAGTTAACATGTGAGGTATAACATCTCCTCGCTCATCCACTCCTGATTTTCAATGCACCCCATTCGTCCGAAAACCAAAAAGATATACATATATATATATACCTTGAGTGGGAAAAAGAATGTACTGCATACCTTGAGATTATGAGATCCATTTCCAACTTCTGGGGACTTACAGTCACTTGCATGGGCAATATCATCAGAACCAGATTTCCTCTTTTCATCTCCATTCGTGATGTCAGCAGAATTGCATGCATGCCTAATATTTTCAAGAAGTTTCTCCAACCATCTATCACGATGTGTGTCTCCAGTTAGTGCTGTGAACTTGACTAAAATGGAATGATATTCTGAGGAATTAGTCCTGCTTCCAGGTGTTTCAGCTTTTTGATTTTGACCAAGCTTAGTTGTTGCTTCTTCCACCCTAGAAACATCAAGGGGTGATATGTTCTTTTTTATCAAACTTCTTTTAGTCTTGAACTGCTCATCCTGATTAAAGGTGGTATCTGCAGTCTCTATATCAGGAAGATCTCCCAATCTTCCAATAGTTTTCTGAACTAGTAAGTCAATCTCATGCTGCTTATCTTCTTCATAATCCCTATCTGTCAGCTTCCAAAGTTTTTTCCCTTGGGTGTCATACACCTTTTGCACAATGAAGCCAGGATGCTGTTTACGACTTGGTAGCTGCTTATTTAAAGGAACAAAATGCACCACACATCTATGCATTACAGATTCTGCTGGAACCTCATCACGATGGAAACTATAGAACAACTCCCTTGTGTCACGTGACTGCCAGTTTCCACCAGCTTTTTTCTCTGCCTCTTCAGGTCGATAAAACCACTGTCCTAACACCATCATGCTCCCGTCTCTGGTCTTACTTATATCCTAGTTAATTACCAGTTCCAGCAGTCACAAATTAAAGATAAAGTCGTTGTAAATGTAAAGGAGAAAGAAAGTAAATGAAAATAATCAGAAAACAAACATGCAGCCCATAACATCACAAAAACATGTTTGGATTACATTAGGAAATTGGCTAGCAGCCCACAAAAAGGGCAAGAATACATGTATTTAAGACAAACCAACATACCAAGACTTTCCAGACAGATAATCGAGCAAAAGGTTTTTATTTAAATAGGAAAATGTGAGGACAAAGTAATCACAGAGAAAGAAGTGATGAACAATACATGACACAAAATCTTCCTTCACCCAGAGACTGAAATGACACAGAAGCAACTAAACAACTTGCGTGGGTATGTAAATATATGGACTCGCCCTTTTTTTACCTCGATACTGTTTACCACTTACATCAATAACGTATGTGCATGTGTCTAAAAAAACACAATTAATATCCATGGAGGGAAAGTCGTACAATAATTTCATAAAGCAAGTACCTTAATAATTGCCACATAAGGCTTTTGTTTACTATCCTCGGGAATTAGAAGAACCGCATCCTCCTACAAAATGATTACAGGATCAGCACCAAAACATTAATGAAACAAATAAAGTGATACCGTTCCCAGAAAATGAAAATTTTTCAACCTAAACCTTTTCAAAATGATATATGGACAAAACACCTAATTACCACAATATCAAGAAGAAAAATAGGAAGACAGTACGTAAAAACAAGCAGCAATAGAGAAATTTAAGAAACAACAACATTTGTAAAACATTTTCAGAGCATACAAATGTGCAGCAATTGCACAGGAAAAATGTAACACTTGATGAGAATCTTCCGTATGTAAGAAATGCATACATTATATCAACAGCAAGACATAAGCAATGCAAATTATCTACATAGACACTTAACTTCAATCTTTACCCCAACTTAATCATGTCAATGATACAAGACCCTGAAAATGGTACGGCCACTCCAAATAGAAAAATCTAAGGAAAACAGGTGAACCTGAAGCTTAGACATATACCCACATCTGACACTCAACCCATGTCTATGTAACATATCAGCTGAGGACCTCTTTGCTTCAAAATCTAAAGTATACTATTGTTCCTATACATATCTAAAAGGCAAACTTAACTACACACCACGGAAAAAAACATTTCTCAGGGAGGGGAAAAAATGACTGGAAAATTCAATTGCCTCCCTAGTCCCAAGAAGGCAATCAGAACAAGTTTGTCTGCACGCAACTTAACCATTCCATCTTCGGAAACATAGACAATAAATTTCACGAGGAAACATAGAAGAAACTGAAAAATCACATTCTAGTTTCTTGAATTTCCCTATAAATGAACAAAGAAGTTCCGAAAGTAAATACTACCATAATGCCAACTTAAACAACACTTTCCAAACAATGGAGAGTAAATATTTATGTATCTGTGAAGCAATGAATCAAAACCATTCGTTTTTCCACCAAACGCATCCGCCAAACCCTACAAACTCAACAATCAAAACCCAAACTGAAAGTCTCAAGAAACAAAAATAACCAAAATTCACTATTGCTAACAGTTCTTCAATTTATCCCAATTAATCAAACAATGCGTTCAATAAGCCACCATGAGATCGATAAATCAAAGCCCTAAAAGCCAACCAATAAACACAAACTCCCAAAACCCGAGCCCAAAACGCAAACTTACCAGGTCGTATCGGTTGCCGTCGTACTCAAACGCCTCGTAGTGTTGCCTGCGACCCCTCCCCTTCCCTGAAAGCCTAACGACCTCGCCAATCGGCTTCGCGTCCTCTAGCTGTGGCTCTTCCTCGTTGTCTTCGCTCTCCGACGCCGATTCGTCCTTAACATTTTTCCCTTTCTTTCCCTTCCTCTTCTTCCTCTTGTGCTTCTCTTCCTCTTCTGACTCCTCTTCTTCTCCCTCTCGAAGCTTCATCTGCTTCCTCTTCTTCGACGACCCGTTCTCCTCCTCCAACTGCTGGTTTTGTGGTGCGACGTCGTCTTCGTCGTCGCTGGTCGAGACCTGCGCGAACCTTCTGTTCCCCATTCTTAGGTGAAACGGTGCGGTTTGGTGGGTGTGATCGGTGTCAAGGGCCCGTCGTCTCTCTCTCTCTCTCTGTCTCGGTCTCTGCTCTGTCTCAGACTAGGGAGCTCTCAGAATGATGACGTGTGTCGCTCCGCTGTTTATAAATGCACTTGGGGATTTTGAAAATGGACCTGTAGTTTACTGGAATTTCGGATTTGCCACTGTTAGCGGCTACGTGTATTTTGTTTTAGGTGGATGACTGCAGGCGGGTCCGTTTGGTCTGGAAGCAAGTGTAGAAAATGGAGCAGACCATTTCTTGCTTCAAAGGTGTACGGAGAGGCCGAAATTACCCTTTGCTGCTACGTGTTGCGGGAGTAAGGACAACGTATTGTCCGGAAGGTACAAGCTTCCCAGAGGGGTAGGTTTTATATGATATGTGCTTAACTGTATAGGATTGGAGAACGCTGGTGAATACGTGGCGGTGATGATGAGTTAGTGGGCAGTGATTACCCGCGGTGACTGCTGAGGGGAAATTCCAACAACCGTTTGACGTGAATGTCAACAGTTAATAACAGCTCTGCCTCAGCATTTGAGAGAAGTTTCTGCTTCTTTAAAACCCAAACCGCACTTACTTGTACGCGTTTTTTAAGAATGTAATTAAAAATTAAGTGTTTTATAAAATAAAAAAACACCTTCCTCGACAAAAACATTTTGATAACAAACAAATAATGACTCATTTTATGTTTGGATTATTTTTCAAATATTGTATAAAAAAAATCATTTTTTTAATTACATTTTAAGACAATTTTGTTTGAGAAGGAAAAAGAAAAAAGAAAAAAGATGGTGAAAATTCTTTTAAAGTAAAATAATTAGAAAAACAAACAAACAAACAAGCAAAAGCTTTTTGATAGGTACCGTATGAATACAAAAGGGAATTATAAGGGGATATTTTATATCATTCAAAATTTGATCTACTGCCAAGCTACAAAAGTGTTATCCACTGGTTCCTCTTGCCATATGCAGCTATGCACCTTAGACAAAGAAAGGGATTGTCAAAGCACTAATGTTTCGGATGTTCTTGTGCTCACTGCTTTCAGCGATTTCCTTCAAACTAGTCCACTTCTTTCTCCTCCGTTTGTTTGACATGCTGCCGGTGTTTTCTGCATCTGTCGGGTTAGGACTGTTTTCAGGTTCAGCTGGTTTCTTGGACACCGATTTGTTTCGCTTTCTCCTCTTCCCTCCAAGTAACAAAGTAGGTCCAGTCCTCACCTTTGGAGTTTCAGGACTGTCCACCGTTGGAATCTCCCCGGCTATTGCTGAAGAAGCCATCTCATTCACTATAGTAACCTCATCTTCATCTGCCCGAGTTTCCACAATACGATTCTCTCTTGCTATTTCTGATGAAGCTGTCTCATTCTCTTGAATTTCTCTTGCTATTTCTGATGAAGCTGTCTCATTCTCTTGAATTTCTCTTGCTATTTCTGATGAGGCTGTCTCATTCTCTTGAATCTCTCTTGCTATTTCTGATGAAGCTGTCTCATTCTCTTGAATCTCTCTTGCTATTTCTGATGAAGCTGTCTCATTCTCTTGAATCTCTCTTGCTATTTCTGAAGCTGTCTCATTCCCTTGAATCTCTCTTGCTATTTCGGATGAAGCTATCTCATTTGCTTGAATCTCTCTTGTTATTTCTGATGAAGCTATCTCATTCGCTTGAATTATTTCTGATGCAGCTATCTCATTTGCTTTCCTAACCTCATCTTCAGCTACATTGCTCTTCTTTGAACTGACAAACTTCTTAGAAATGGATTTAGCAGGTTTCAGTTTCGAAGTCGTTTTGGTCTTAGTGGGGCATATCACTTTCATATGTCCACGTGGAGTCCCTCTCTTCAAATTCCGATATGAACAGAAGTGGCATGTATACACTACATTGTTTTGAGAGAAACTAGTTGGTTTCTTACTTTTTCGTCGTTTCTTTGATCTATTTTTCTCAATTCGAACAGTGCAGTTCAAGCCAGGCTGAAGAATTGTTTCACATCTGCAAAACAGTAAAATGCTGATCAGAGTTTTGTACCTTCTACATACTTTGAAATATCATTCATTTCAAGAAGGCACTGGAAAAAAACTAAAGCCTACAAGGCTACACTACATCACACGCATCTAAAAGACAAATCAATTCAAGAACTTTGGATGCGCATAGTGGCTGACTCATCTCGCTTTTGGAGTTGATTCAATGGGAACTTTAAAATATGAAACTAGAATGACTTGAACTCTAAGCTTATCTCAAAAGCACTTTAATTTCAACGAAAATATGACCCAAAAAAAACCGCATTGGTGAAATAAAAGCCACAAGGTTTATTAATACTTTTATCTGTGTTGTGCGCTCTAAGAAAACAGAAAGGAGATGCCAGCATCAGAAAAGCAGAAAACCAGGCATGCCATCGTAAGATTCATGTTTCATGCTAATATATAGTGCAAAATGAGTTAAGCAAAAAAAAAAAACCACCCCAATGACTGCTGGTGAGAACTTTGTTAGCAATCGACTTTATTGAAACAGATGCAATTCGGAGTGATTGTTTATCTTTCGTGGTTTAACCAATAATAACCTTTCTGAAAAGTGAAATAAAATTAAACTCATAGTAAGAAACTTACATGTAGGCTAGGCTTTCAGGTCAATAGAGTCAGAATCCTATTCTCTCTCCATCTTTCAACCCTAAACTATGTTGGATGTTTCTTAGTTTATATATCTGACTTTGGACAATGAATCCTATATGTATGTTGTTCAAGTAGAACTTTGAAATAATTAGGAATTTCAGTAATTCAATACGTTTACAAAGTTACTTTGCAACCTAGAATGCTGGCCCATTAGCATGCAGAACAATTTCAAACCTATTCATAACAATTAGTTTCCATCTTTCTCTTTATGATGTACAGTGTGCTAAGCTTAATCAAGGTAGATCGTAACTTACATAAGCATCACAAGACAATGTGGGTATGGTTAAGCTAAATATGATGTTGGACTCTGATAATAATCACGGGTGGACAAGTTTCGTGAGAAAATTATGCAATGCCACCAAACTTAAGACTCTTTATAAAGATATACAATTTTATAATGCCTGTTACAATTGAATTGGTTTGGTTCCACATTTTGGAACAGCCGATCTAATGCAATTGGTTTTAAAATTTCTAATACAATCTAATCCAAACCACTTGCATTGGACTAAAACGGTTAGCCAGTTTCTTTCGCTTTTGCATAGCTCTAACCAACCCACAACCCAAGATGCTCACTTTGCATTTGGGACAGATTAACTACAACCAACAATGCAGCCCTCTTACAGCTAACAACCATTAACACAAGCGAACCAACCATTCCAATAGCTTTCGATCACAAAATATTTCAACCATTATTGGAAAACAACAAGTTTTTTTAGTTACTTCCCAACAAAAATTTAAACACTCAACCACTTACGCATAACAAAGTCAAATTCCACACCCCAAAATGATCAATTAAAGAACATATGCATCCATGACCCGCCCTAATATAACCCATTAACCCTTTTGGTCTGCAACCTACTAAAATTGCATCAAGCCATAAACTTTAACTCCAACACTCAGCTCAAAAAGCCATATACTTTGCAACTAACTGCACTTATAACAACAACAACCACCTCAATATGCATACACTAACAAGAACGAATTTGATAAAACCAGTTCAGCTAATTCGTTTTCTTGGGTAATTCATATTTTCCATAATTGATTCAAGGAAGCAAAAAAAATTCACACACCTCTGGCAAGTAAACAGAGATGGGTCAGGAGGTACGCCCAGAGCCTCCTGAGCAGAGGCCAACGTGTGCGCGAAGAAGGCACCCAGAGAAGGAACAGAAGCTTCCCCACCAGCCCACACAGCGAGTCTCTGCAAGTGCTCGAGCTTCAGTGCAGACTTGGCGTTGACGGCGGGTCCCTTGGTTTGCTTCTTGCCAGTCAATTCTTCTCTCAGTGATATGGTGTTGTTAGACCCGTATGCTGTATTTCCCGTTCTCTTGGCTCCTCCTCTCCTGCCCATGTTTTGCTTTGTTTTGGGGCTTTTTTTCTCTTTCGGGAATTTTATCGAACACTTGGTCAGCGACGCTGCTGAGGCATATGGGATGGGAGCGCCACAGGGTTTTTTTTTCCAGCTTATGGGCCCTGAGGAAAAATGACCAGCTTTTGTTATATGGGCCTTTACTTCTTTTAGAATACCTTTCGAATCTAATTTTGATATTAAACTGTAAACAAAAGTGCTTAATTTTTTTTTAAGCTAACGACAAAAGACACCCTGATGGTTTAGGGTAGGCCTCATCATTTGGCCCGCGGGCTCATGGGCCGATGGGGGCCCGCCCGGCCCATCAAAAAAAAGCCCGGCCCGGCTCGTTATGGGCTTTGAGATGGCCCGGCCCGCCTTGGGCCGGACCGGCTTGGGCTTGAGTGTTTGAAGCCCGGCCCGACCCATAGGCCCGGCCCGATTAGGCCCAAGAAAGCCCGGCCCGGCCCGTTAGGCCCGCATACATATATAATTATGTATAAATAAGAGTTTAGGATTAGGATTATATCACTTAAATCACATATATTATTTGTTTCATTTCATTTACTTTTCTTTACTCATTCCTCAAATTGGGCCCCAGGGTATCAATTTTATCAATTTACACCCTTATGTTTTCAATTTGGTCCAATTTCATCCTTCCGTCAAGTTGACCAGACGGTCAATCGTTAAATGCTGACGTGGCACCCGTGGGACCCACCCCACCTGCGGATTAACCATTCCGTGCATGCCAATTGAAGGGTAGTTTTGGGTTTCGACAATTCAAAAAAAAAAAAAAAAATATCGCGCCCAAATTGGGCACGCGTTGCAAAGCTGGAGATCGAAGACAAAGCCCCAAAGACGTCGTTCGTCCTCAACCTCTGTTTAACCTAAATCCAAAATCTCCATAGCTCAGAGCTCAGATCTACGATTTCGAAGAAGTGAGAAGAAATGAGTTGGGATTTCAGGGCTCTAGGCACTCCACATCCCTCGTACGGTAAGTTGGTTTAAATTTTTGCGATTTGGGATATCTGTGGTGAATGGGTTAGAGGTCGTATAGGGATATTGTGGTTTGAATGTTGTGTTTTATATGCTTTCAAGAATAGTGGGAGAAGTATGAAAGATTTTGTCGAAAATAGGTGGTCCTTTCGCAGATTTCGAATATAGGTGGTCCTTCAAGCTAAGCATGTGCTGGCAATGTCTGGCTTTAATAAGGTCAAAGTGTCTGCCCTTTAATAAGGCAAAAGTGTTAGGTGGAAGGGTGTGAAAATAGTTGTTTAATAAAAACTTAGCCTTTTCTACAATGGGTTTATGGTGAAAATAATTGAAAACTGTGTTTTAGTATTTGTGTAATGTGTGAATACTGTGTTTTGTGTTGTGTGTTATGTTTGAACTGAAAATAACCCATGTTTGGGACATGTAATATGTAGGTGATCCTGAAATGTTTTCTATTCGAATGTACCATGGTGGTCAAATCTGTGGTAACTGTTATGCTTCTGGCAGTGTAGCTTGGTTTGATTATTGCGACAATGATAGAATGTCAATGACTGAGATAGACAATATGGTAAGGGAGTTAGGCTATGATGGGGTGATTAGTTACTGGTATAGTATCCCTACCTGTAGCAATGGTGGCCTAACAAAGCTTAATGATGATCAAGATGTCATAGGCATGCTTGTATTTGTACCAGAGACTAGGCTAATGGACATCTTCCTACATCATGGGGTAGATAGTAATGAGGGTTGGTTTTATAGTCAATCAGGATCAAATCTATTTGTTGATTTAGAAGTTGAAATTGTGCCTAACAAAGGAGTTGTGATTGAGGAGCTTGATGACAATTATGGGGCTATTGTTCCTGTTGGTGGGAAATGCAAACAATGGAGACAACAGAAAAAAAAAAAAAAAAAAAAAAAACAAGTGTTGTGATAGAAGAGCTCAATGAAGAACCAAATGGGGAACAAAGTGGTGGGGGTACGCAAAATGCAAGGGAATCTTTTGCAAGACAGAGTGTTTTTGAAAAAGGCAAAGAAAAAGCAGTAGAGAGGGAATCTTCTGTAGTGCAAAAAGACAAAGAAAAAGCTGTTGAGAGGGAATCTTCTGCAGTGCAAACAGACAATGAAAAAGTTGTTGAGAGGGACTCTTCTGCCCCTGTAGACAAAGGGAAAAGTAAAATCAGTTCTGTTTTTGGGAAAAGGAGAGCAAGAGCTTTTGGTAAAAAGAGATGCAAAAATGTAAAGAAGACACGTGATAAAGAAGACCAAAGGTCCAATACAGTAACTGAGGGACTAGTTGAGAATGAGGTTGTTGAAGCAACTGTAGAAAAAAGCAAGTTATCAAGATGTCATCCAATGAAGACAAGAAAAGCAAGGAGAATGACCACAGTTTGTGATGAAGAGGAGTCAGCAGACAGTATTGACTCTAATTTTGCAGACCCTAACTTCAGTTGTGATGATAATGATGATGATGATGATGTCGATTTTAATGAATGGGTGGACAAACAAACTGAGTGGGTTGGAGATGGGGCCAAAGGAAAACAGCCAGAGTCAAAAAATGCTGAGGTAAAATCTTGGGATTGGGGTGCAGATGTTGAACTGGATTCAGAGGAGTATGATTCTGATAATGTGCAGCCTATCTATGACTCTGATGATGACACTCCAATGACGGATAGATGGCCAGAGTTCAATCCGGCAACTGACATGGGAGATCCACAGTTGTGATGTTGTTTGGGAGAACCCCACTGTCAAGTCCAGTTGGCTCAGTGCCAAATATATGGAAACATTGAAGACCAATCCAAGTTGGCCAGTCAGCTCATTCATGGAGACTGTGGAGAAGGATTATAACATTGGAGTTTCTATGCAACAAGTTTATAGGGCAAAAGAGAGGGCATTGAGGCAGATTGATGGAATATACACAGAACAATACTCCAGAATTTGGGATTATTGTGAAGAGTTAAGGAAGACCAATCCAGGAACAACAACCAAAGTTCAATGTGATTTCAATGAACAATTGGGTCATCCAGTGTTTCAAAGGTTATATGTGTGTTTAGGTGCATGTAAAGCAGGGTTTATTGCTGGATGCAGACCCATTATTGGATTGGATGGCTGCTTCTTGAAGGGTGGATATGGAGGGCAATTTTTAGCAGCAATTGGTATAGATGCTAATAATGAAACATGGGTGATTGCGTCTGCAGTGGTTGAGTCTGAGTGCAAGGACTCATGAGTTTGGTTTCTAGAATTGTTGGTAAAGGATGTAGGGATTGTTAACCAGTTTGGATACACTTTCATATCAGATAAGCAAAAAGGATTATTACCAGCTTTTGAGCAAGTAGTTCCTAACAGTGACCATAGGTTCTGTGCAAGACATCTGTTCACCAACTTCATATTACAATTCAAAGGGAAAGCTTTGTCTGACAAATTTTGGGGCGCTGCAAAAGCAACAACTGTTCCACACTTTGCAAGACAGATGGAAGAGCTGAAAAACCTTGATAAGGATGCTTATGATTGGTTGACAGAACCAGGAAAACCTCCCAGGCATTGGTCTCGATCACACTTCAGCACTCATGTGAAGTGTGATATGCTTTTAAACAATATGTGTGAGTCCTTCAACTCATTCATATTGCCATGTAGAGATAAGACAATATTGACCATGCTTGAGATAGTTAGGTGTAAGTTGATGAGGAGGATACAAGGCAGAAGAGACAAAATGAAGAATTGGACAAAGGCAATTTGCCCCAAGATTTTTAAGAAGGTAGAGATAAATAAGGCAAAAGCGGGTGGTTGTGTCACTATGTGGTCAGGTGGAGGAAAATTTCAAGTTGGCAGTGGTGGGATTTCACAGTATATTGTGGACTTGGATTTGAGGACCTGTTCCTGCAGAGAATGGGATTTGACTGGTTGGCCTTGTGTTCATGGAGTGGCAGCTATAAATTACAATGAGGGCCTGAACGTAATGAATTTTGTGGATGCATGTTATCACACTAAGACATATTTCAAGGCATATGAAAACCTCATACTACCTATGAATGGGATGGAGTTGTGGGATAGAACTAATATGCCACCATGTGTGCCTCCTTCATACTCCAAACATCTTGGAAGGCCAAGAAAGGCTAGAAGGAAAGAAGCAGGTGAGTCAAGCAAGAAGGCCACTATTGTTACAAAAGTTCAAGATTCACTGAGGTGTGGCCAATGTGGAAGAAAGGGCCACAACAAAAGGACTTTCCATAGGAATCTCCCCCCCAAAACAAAAATCAAAAAGAGGAAGGCTGAGGTAAACATCTAAGGGTGAACATTTGTTAATTTTATAAATTTTTATGTTTTTGGAATATGATGCAACTAACAGTTTATTATTTTTTACCTCATCCCAGCAAACTACTCAAACAAGTGAAGCTGGTCCCAATACAACAACAAGGCGAGCTAAGCCTGCAAGATCTGTGCAGAAAGGAAAATGGAAGAGAAAGGCCACCACTGCTGTCACATCCCGGATTGGCTCCGTCGTAGCACGATATTGTCCGCTTTGGGCCCCCCCTCTCTGGCCCTCACGGTTTTGTTTTTGGGAGCTCATGACCAACTTCCCAGTGGGTCACCCATCCTGGGATTGCTCTAGCCCCCAACTCGCTTATCTTCGGAGTTCCTACGACTCCGAAGTCAGTGAGCTCCCAAAAGGCCTCGTGCTAGATTGATGCGGGTGTGTACATATAAGGCACATCACCCCCTCTCCATTGGTCGTCGATGTGGGATCTTACAAATGCAGCTGGAAGTTCAAATGTACCACCAACTGATTCAGCTGCTCCATCCTCAACATCTGCCCTTCCTGCATCAACTGAAGCTTCAACTGGCAATTCTTATTTATTGAGGAAACGACCTATGGATGTGGGAGCATCAGACTTGAGCAAGGAATGATGATGGTCTTGCACACTTGTCTTTCTTTTAATGTTGGGAAATCACAGACTTCTAGTAGCTGGTTTGGTTAGGTTAGGTTATTTTGTTATCAGAAGACAGTTTTACCTTTATTAGTTGGTTGGGTTAGGTTATAATGTTATTTTGGAAGACAAGTTGCCTTATTTTGGGAAGATTGTCCATGGGAGATATTTTGTTAGTTTCTGTTTTTTTGGAAAACAGGTACTGTTTTTTTTTGGA